TAAGTTCATATCGAGAAAATCCTAGCAGCAAGCTTTCTCGCAAGAATTCCATATCTGCCCAGCAACGGATTAGTTGGATATTCTGGCTCCCACTCCATACCTCTTGGCACCTGTGCTAAAGGTTATGTATTCAACAAGCTCGGAGACTTCAGCAGCTACACTCAACACCAAGCAACAAGGCTCATTGAGACAGCAATTGCTGTCAAGAAACTTCTAGACGACTCCCTCGTCTACAGCGGTTTCCGCCACCACGTGGTACAACCATTTAAATAATCTTCAGTTCAACAAATTAAAATAAATTCATTAACTTTAAAATACACGTTAACTTTTCTTATTTAAAAATACAATCTTTAAAATTTAACCTTTAACAACAAATTTGTTTTTCGTTTCTCAAACAAAAATTAAGACATTTGTATTGTGGGCATGCTAATTTTCTTACAAACTTAAAACCGGTTTCATTACATTTATATACAAACTTACCTCTTGTTTCAGGTACATCAAGGATTGCGATAATTCTCCTGGCCCCGCTATGCTCCAGCCAAGGATCAGATCTTCTAGCATACCTACGAGAATCAAAGGTAAATATAAATCTTGACTACCATGAAACGCATGTACCAATATTTTTACAAACAGTAGACACATCCGTTTTCGCAACAGAAACCTTTAAATCAGACATACACCATCTTATTAACCCAGGAATCAACCCATCCCCTTTAATTACAAACCAAATCAAAACAATTAAATCAATGTATACAGATCTACAGAACCTTATTTCGAGAAGAAACAAATATTTAGACCCCCTCACTGATAAACCAGATAAACCATGCCAAATAAGCATGCAAATTTTTTCCAATAAATTTGCTAAATACATTGTAGACGAACTATCAATCATTCGCAAAGACTTACCAGATCCTAACATTGACCTAAGTACAGACAACCAACACAGCAAACGCGTAAGCTCCTTATTAATGCAATGCTTAATTGATTTGACCAAGATCTTTCAAAATTTAAACGCAGAAATACTAGAATTAGAAAATTATATAAACTTAAGATCAACACCAACCACATACATTGCAGCTCAAAGTTCTCCATGCCTAGAACCAGACTTTAACGAACACATTACAATACAAAATACCAAGGCTACTTCCTCAGGCTTACTCGTCTATCTTAAGATTATACAATATAAACCAACTATACACGCTTATAAACTAATACCAACTCCATACTTTGGATACAACCTTGACTTAACACACACTTATCTCATAGACGGAAAACTTGCTAAGTGTGACTGCATTTATGAAAACCATGAGCTCTTAACAGGTTGCACCTGTTTACCTTTGAATCAAAATTGCGATGAAGCAATTATTTCAAACGATATCTTTAAAATTTTTAACGAATGTCCAATTGTAAAAACATTAATTGAAGGGCCGAGGCCCACTCTTACAGGAATCTTATTCCCATCATTCTACGCTTTTACATTAGAAAATTCATCTTTAGACCTTCTTACGCCAAATACGCCATCTAACTTTCCGTTTCACATACAAAGTAATAAGAAGTTCATAATTACTTACATGGGAAAACGTCTCTCCTACAGAGCAACAAATGCTGAAATTGAAGATAGCATGCAAACTCTGCCTCTGTCTAAACCAAACCTAGAAAAATTACAATATATTTTATCTCCTATGTCACTCTCCGACATTTACGAATATATCTCCATATCTCTTGCTTCTCTTACAGGCCTTATAATTTTACCTTTATTCTTCTGCATATGTGTAAAAAGATGTAACTGTAAATTTTCAACTTTTTCAAATGCAGATAAAAGACGACCCATTAATCTTACTTTAAATAAACTATATTAATTATATTTCAGGTAGACAGCTCTCATACAGTACTCACAGCATCCTACAACTATTGCGTACTGCACTGCTCTACAGAAACATAAAATCCACCATATTATGTACATATATGACGTCTTAGTTTTGTCCTTTCCATGTACAAAGTATATTTAATCTAAATCCATAGGCTTCATTTTTGTTTCTTCTTGTACATTTGCATCCATTTAAACTTAAAACTTAATTTAAGCAGTTTTCACATAAAAAAATATTGAGAATATTTTTCTATTTTCTCTTTTACGTTTAATTTTTAAACTAAATTTGGCAAGATTTTTCAATGCCATTTAACTGTACATAAATGTCGTCTATGCTCTGATCAGTATTTATGAGAAACAAAAGTTTATAACAAAAGAACTTTACCTGTTGCCTCATCTTAAGTTCATATCACTAAGAAAAGTGTTTCCTCTTTATCTCCACTCAACTAAACAAAATCACTCAATTCAATTCTTCTCAACCTTTAAATTTTTTATAAACGCTTTTGAATCTCCTTGTAAATAATAAATACTGATTTCAGAAGTAAAATGATAGATATATCTTCGTGCATTGACGATACAAAATCTTCTTCCTTATCTGATGTAACTCTCTGCACAAGAATCACAGAGTATATTCGTTCATACCTTTGCCGACCGGCAGCAAGGAGAACTGAAAGTATACACACTGTATAACCTACCTAAGTATCCAGCAAGTAACCAGATCATGCCTCAATTACTGCAGGTACACCATCCTTAATTAAAATTAATTTCAGTCTTTTGAAAAAAAAATTTAAAAACTCATTCCAGGCTACTGTAAATCTGACTAAAATACCCAGCTTTGCCCATTACAACCTTAAAACTAACTTCCTTTTATCTTGACTTTTAAAATTTAATCAACGTCAAAATTCTATTTTAAGATCGTTTATGTTCATACATTTGCAATCACAATGTATAAATCATAATTTGCACAAATCGGAATAAATTCAAAATCAAACCTTTTTGCAACAACAGTATGAAAAAGTACTTAATTTTTAACTTTTAAAATAATTTTACTTACCAACCTATGATCAACATCAGACAGTGTCCCGTTTCATCCGAAACTTAAAACTAATTCAAACAAACATCCATCAAATCCATATCTCATCATTTACTACTTTAAATTCTGAAAGAAAAGCAACTTTTTTTATTAAAAAATGATTTTATGATTAATTTCTCACTTAAAATTGCGTTGTTACTTAATTTTAATTCAAAAACTACCAATATCTTAATCAAATCATTTGTAATCAACTCATACATCAAAACAATCAAACAATCATCTATTAAAAAATCAAACCAATGCATACCAACCCTAAAAAGAAACATATTTATCAACGTCAATTCCTGGTGTACAAAATAGTCAGGAGCCTTACGATCTCTCTGAGACCGACGGAGAGTAGTTAACCCCCCATCTTGACCCTCGAAACCTTGACTAAACTCCTCATCATCTGTTGCCTCCTCATCAATAGCAGGAGTATTTACAGTCACAGTCCTTTCCAACACTCTATTCTTTTCATCCTCACCCTGGACTGGAGGTTTTCTCAAAACATTCAAGAACTTCTAAATTAAAACACCATAAATAAATACACCTTTCAAACATTTGTCATCTTTCTTTTCTCTTAAACCAAATATTTTATAGACTTTTATAATTTTAATTTCCTAACTAATAATCTAACTCCAAAATTAATATTAACCTGGACAGCCGGACTTCTCTCACTCATACGTCCTGTTGGTGTTGTAAACTGATCTTGTCCGTGCTCTCCAGTATTGTATCTTGATCTAACCCCTCCTGCGGAATCTGCTCCTCCCTCAATCCTAGCACTGTTTTCATGTCCAACCTCAACCCTCGGTCCAGCACCTGCTAGGTTTGTTCCATTCTGTACGAATACTCCAGGTTGTGGCACATGAAGACGAATGCTCTCATCTATTCTTCTTATCTCTGGCAAATTAAGAGAATGAGAGACACCAGGATAGCTAAAACTGACGCCCTGCAGAGGATCATAATTCGTATAGGGAGGAAGCTCAGGATCTCCAGACCGTAGATAGGGTGCTGAACCAGTCTCAGTTAAGTTCTCTTCAACATTCGACCCCAAATCCAAAACTCTTCTCTTTATCTTTACCCTCTTTCTCGGAGTTTCTGCAGTCCCTTTAGGATCAGGATACATCTTGCTTGAACCCTCACCTTTGTCAACAACTACCTGGATAATATTAAAATTAGACCAAATCATTATTTGAATCATAAATATTCGATCTCACCTCAAATTTCTTCCCTCTGCACATCTTAAAACTTACACAGGTAAAGATTATCCGAAAAACACCCTAAACAATACTTTTATTATAAAAAATAACAATTTATCCTTTCTCCCTTTCAAATTCAAATCTCAATTTAAAAATAATTTAAGAACTATTTATTAAAAATAATACAATCTCAGTCTCAATAAAAAACATTTTATTTACAACATAAATAAAATATTTTGATTGCATATTATAGGCCAATATTCCCTTTTATTCTGTAATTCCTAAAAATCACCTGTACTGCATGTATAAAGGAATTATCAGAGCAAACGTCGATCATCATAGACACGCAGTAACTATAGGACACGGTCCAACCTCTCCTAATAACACACGTTCCATTAAATTAGAACAACACCTTATTTATTTTATCTTAAATTATTACCTCGCACAAAACTCCCATAACATCAGAATAAACACAGCAATCAGCAATCCGACACAACACCCGGTAATGAAGGCATAGACTCCACCATGTTGAAACCAATCAGAAGATATAATAGCGCTACAAAACAATCTAGGAACAGCGAACACTCCCTCCTGTAACAATACTCCGTAATATAAACTTAAAATTAAAATTAAATTTAAAATAATTCATTAAAACAACGAATAACGACCCCA